TTGTTTGTTTTTTTTTTTTTTGTTTTTTTTTGTTTGTTTTTTTTTTTTGTTTTTTTTTTTTTTTTTTTTTTTTTTATAGTGAAAAAGGCCCATGACAAAGAAGTGTGGTTGCACGTCTACACCACTTGTCGGCTCTCTAAAGACACTGCACGTTCTAACTTCCCATTGTTGAGACAACACGACACGTAACTTGCAAGCATGGACCTGCCTATAACAATCTTAGAGGATCTACATATGACACTTCTAGTAAAGTTTCTCTTCTATTTTTTTTAAGTAATATTTTACATTATTTTAATGTTACATCACATTTTTTTTTTGCTTTAAACGGTTTACTCTAAAATCTCATTAAAGTTTTTCAAATGGACTCACATGTATTTATTTTTTAAAATGTTAAAATACATAAAATATAATGTAAATTAAAAATTAATAATAATAACTTTTAAAATAAAATTCATGTGCTAATGAGTAGTTTATTTTTATTCCTTGTAAATAATTGTTTCAAATTTGCAATCACTCAAGCTTATATCTTCATTGATTATAAGGTTATCCAAGTTGATTCGTGAAGGAAAAAAAGGAAAAAAGGAATTTTTATTCTACTAGTATTTACACTTATTGATTAGAATAATTTTCACCACTATTCATTGTTAAAGCACCACCAAACATGACAAAATTAGTTGTTGAGATTGAAAAATTTATTCTACTTTGGGATTATATATGAACTACCTATAATTTATTATAATTTTTTTTATAGATTTGATTTAACTTTTTAAAAAGTTTGATCTGATCTATTAGTCAATTTGAATTATTAATATTAATTAGGTTAATAAATTTAATTTTTAAAAATTAACAAAATCATTTTTAAAATATAATTAACTCAATATTATTAAATTTTAAATTTAAAAAAAAATATAGGAAAAAAATTGAATTATTTTTTTTTGAAAGAACAACTCATATGTAATCATGTATGTTGATATACACTCATGCACAAATCATAAATTTATAAATTTATAATAAAAAATATTTTAAATATTAATAAATTATTTTTATTTTATAATTTTATTTATTTATATTTTTAATAATTTATATATATATATATATATATTATTTTTTATTATATTATATAAATAAATAGACTAATTTGTGAAATTTAACAGACTTTTCTATAAGCAATTCAGCCAATAAAATTCGAATGGAACAACCTTCAACAGTGAAACAACTTCATATTTGAAGTTTTTTTTAATTCATAATAATAATATATTTTAATAAAATATTTTAATATTATATTTTATGCCGTGAACCCATAAAATAAATTCTGAAGAGGGTGGGTTCTAATTTCAGCACTCCACTTCTCCGAATGGGACAAAACATGCACAATTTCAACATGCGAACAAATTTTACTATTTTGAGTTTCTTGTATTATTTGTTTCAATCTAAAAACTAGCGTCGGAGTTGCTCTTAAATTTATCACTCATAGTAACTTTGCAAACAACTTATGAATCTAATTTCTCTCATCTGCTTTGTCAACATAACTTTTTTAAATGTAATATAAAGAGGAAAGAAATGAACGAAAAAAAATATCATAATAAAAATTGAGTATATTTAATAGAATGAAAGAAGAAGAAAAATAAAGAAAAAAATAATTTTTTTTAGAAAATTCATATTGAATTAAATAAAAATAAAAATGTATTATAAATTAAATTGCATTTACTTGTTATATTGTTTCATTTTGTTACAAATTAAATGCACAATCAATTATATGGTGGATAGGATAAAGCAACAACTTTGAAAATTTATTTCATGCTTTGTCCCTCCTCTCATTTCACGCTCTCCCTCCCTCCACAAATTTTTACCATTATTTATGTGAATAAGGATAAAAAAAAGTAAACAAGCTAAAATTCTCATAAAATACTCTCATTTAAAGAAGGATAAAAAAATACATGAAACTCACTAATTATTTCCTTCACTCCCTCTCTAATTCACCATATCAAACATATTAAAAATATCAACTTCCACATATTTCCTTTTTCTTTTCTCTCTCTTCTATCAAATTATTCATTTTATTTTTATTAATAAATAATTTTATTTTCTTTATTTTGAAATAAAAATATTTAATCTCTAATTTTAAAAATAAATAATTTTGATCTTTTCTTTTAAATTGACATCATTAAATTTTAACATGTATTCATATTTAAGTGATGAAATATTTAGAAATAAAAAAGACTAAGGAAAAAACATGAAAATAAATTTTTTACTAATAAAATAAATAATAATCATTCATAAGAATAAATATAAACGAAAGTTTTCTATATATTATTTTTTAATTTTTATCTTTTAAATATCATATTATTAAATATCATATCACTTAATAAAAAATTATTATACAATATTAAAATTTAACAATTAATTAATGATAATAAAGTTAAAATTTTGTATTTTAAAAATTATAAAATTATATATCACCAAAATTGCAATTTAACATTATTACAATTCGTCTCAGATTCTGACTTTGAGAATACTTTGTTTTCAGGGAAAAAAATTATTTTATTTTTAATAACAGAGCTGATCGAATAAAATGGTAGCCCATTTAAGGTGGCTATGTAATTGGGCCGGCCCGATTAACCCATAGAGGCTAATAGGTCCGTGATGGGACGTTGTTATGCAAAACGCAAACGTAGAAGCTAGCCACCGCTTGCAGAGAAAGAGAGCGCATCACCGTCGTCGACACAACCCAAACATGTCGTCCCTTCGAAACGCCATTCCCAGGCGTGCTCACAAAGAGCGTTCTCAACCGTCAGTCTCTTCTCTCTCTCAATCGCTATTCACTCTCCGTTCGAATCGCTTCATTGCAACCTCAATTTATTTTGTTTTTACTTATTTTTTCATTCATTAGGTCGTCGAGGAAAAAATTCGGCCTTCTCGAAAAACACAAGGACTATGTCCAGCGTGCTAAAGCATTCCACAAGAAAGAGGACACTTTGCGGGTATAATTTTACACTCTCCTCTTCCTTCATTATCAGCGTTTTCTATTTTTTTTATTTTTTAAATTGTTTGTTTATTCGACAGAAACTTAGGGAAAAAGCAGCAAATAGAAATCAAGATGAGTTTTACTTCAAGATGGTTAGAACAAAAACCGTTGATGGAGTTCATATACCAGAGTAAGTGATGAATTTCTCTATGTCCTTTTTTTCAATTTTCTGCTATTTGTTATTGTCTAACTCTGTTGTATTGTGTAGGAGTGAAGCAAACAAGTACACTGAGGAAGAGCTTATGCTGATGAAGACCCAGGATATGGGCTACATTCTTCAGAAGCTTCAGAGTGAGAGAAAGGTGGGACCTTTGCTTTAAGTTTCTATGTTGTCTTTATTGGGGTTTTGTGCGAATATTGTGATAATGTAGGTTCACTTGTTGCTTGCAGAAAATTGAAAGGCTAACTGCCTCCCTGCACTCTATTGACAATCAGCCATCGAACAAGCATGTTTTCTTTGCTGAGGATAGGTATGGGTTTCTGGGCTATTATTCTGTGATCAGCGTGGGTTCATTTTTCTGAAATGTTAATGTTATATTTGATCGGTGTACTTAGTTTTGAAACTTTTGACTATTTTAGTTATGCAAAATTTGAAGGGTGATTTTTCAATCATATATTAAGCCAATGACTACAACTTACCACTTGTTTTTTAGATGATACATTATGTTGAATATGTTATTATGTTTATGATAGGAATTTAGTATGCAGTTTCAAGCGGTTGCTTTGGATTCTTTTTTTGTGTGCAAATTTTATTAGTGATATAGGGTACATTTGGCTGAAAAGCTTAATTAAGTGTTTATTCAATAAGAGCTTATCATCTGAGCATGGTTGTTAAAGCTTAATTAAGTGTTTATTGAAGGCAGTTTAACCCCCCCCCTCTCTTTAATTTTGTAATTCCATTTGGCCTAGAATCACAAAGTTGCAAACTGTTATTTCTCCCAAAACGTTCTTAAGGCAAATGCATATGCCGTGCCCTATTGCCGCTGCTCTTTGAGATCACCCCTGCAACCCTGTCTTTTGTTCTCAGCAAAAGTGTGAACACTTCTCCACGATGTTCCCTGTCTTTTGTGCTTGTGTTAAATTTGATACTATGTTCCTGGCATCTTATGGAATTATGGTTTATTTTCACTATTTTGTTTATTTAATTCTTTTGGATAATTTTTTCCTAGTCAGCATGATATTTTTTTATTCATGTTATATGGTATGCACGGAGTAAAATTTTTATTATTATTTTACTATGAGATAAACACTCACTAGTTTACCGGTCCTCCACAAGTTTACCTAAATTCTCAAGTTTAATATCCCTGCATGTGAGAGTATGTCATGATCACTTAATTCAATAAGCTAAATAGAACTTATAAGATAGATGGTCATATCCTAACTCCTTCAATTTTTAGCTCAAGTGTTTATATGATAAAAATAAACCCAAATAAACTTCATTGGAGCTTTTCCAAATGCTTCCGTTGTCATGTTATAAGATCTATTCTGTTGGGTAAACTCTTACTTTTCTCCAGGGATATAGTGCCATTTTCTGTTTATTGATTGATATGTTACCTTTCCACCTCTACTCTCATTCCCTTTCTTCTTTCTCTTTTTAGTGTTATATTGTGTGTGTGTAATTGTAGATGTTGTCCTTGTTCCTCAAATTTATTGTTAATGGATAGCTTTTTTAATCATTGCCCATGTATATGTAGAGAAGAGGCTAAAGAGTTACAAGCACAATATCCAAAAAGTGTCATTCCACTTTCATCTGATGATATTCCTGCTAGCATTAAGAGGTACAGCCCTACATTTGGCTTCAAAGAATTACTTTAAGTTTTGTTTGATGTCTTCATTGTCTTGGAGATTAAACATTTTATTAAATATGATTTGTCTTCACTGAAACTTTTCAGGGATCTGTTGCACCAAATAATTTATTTTTTCTCTTTAAGGTGCTTTAAGATTTTTGATTTTAGCAAATATCCTTACTTTGCCAACAGTATCAAGATCTTTTGCAGTAATGTGTATTGGCTGAATCTTGGCATTTTTTTCCATCTGTTTCCCAGTCTGTGGGTACGGGAAACTGTTAACACAATTGCTTATGAAAATTTGTTTAGCTTGTTAGGTATTTCTTTGGCAAAGAAAACATATATCTTTCTATAATGTTCTTTCCAGGATTTTAATTTAGAAATGAAACTACTTTTGCTCTGAACATTCAACAGCAATCACTCCTATTCAAGCACAAGGTGTGAGAATGTGGTCATGAGTGACAAGTTAAATATCATATGTTTGCATCTAGGAAGCCTAGATATATAGTACAATAAGGGTGTGATATGACATGAAATTACAGAAATGAGGAAATGGTGATTTTTTAAAAGTGAAGATATGACATGGTATGACCAATTAATATCAATTATGGTCAGATTGATTTCTGTCAATTCCATGCTATTTGGCCAACAATTATGGTCAAATTGATTACTGTCAGTTCTCTGCTATTTGGCCATATTGAAGTATTTTCTATGCTGGGTTGAATCTGTTGTAAAATTGCTCACGCAAAGCTGACTTTACGTGCTTTATGATGTATTGACTTTGATCTATTTCTTTATAGTACTATCTACTATGATTACCTCCATTTGTTCTTTTCTTGCTTGATTTCTAGCCCAATATTGATAGTGAGGTATTTTCTTTCCACAGGAAAACAACTCAGTCTTACCGAGAGTTGGAAGCAAGGAGGAATAGATTCAGCCAGCTAGAGAAAATCTACATGGATATGGCAATGCAGAAGGAGTTGCAGGTATTGATATTTTTGCATTGCATATGTTGAACCCTTTTTTGAGTCTTACAAATGTAGAATTCTCAAAAAGCATTTTACATCTATGAACAGAAAAACGGTAAGAAGCGCAAACTAAGTGAAGATGAGATTGTCTGCCCTACCACCAAACCAGTATACAAGTGGCGTGCTGAAAGAAAGCGTTGAAAGAGTTAAAAATACTTCAGGCTTTTATTCTATTTTGCCTGGTTACTATTTAGCATAGTGATTAAATACTTGTGGGTTGGGTCTGCTGCTGGAGAACATGTCTTACATGAAGCACTAACATGCCTGGCTGCAGAATCGAATGTGTTGCATGAAACAAATTAGGTGGGATGACTACGGATGCCGATAACTGGCTTTCTTGTCGAGAATTCTCTGATCATGTAACCATTTTCTTTGCTCTGTTCGGTATCCATCCTTATACCTTTCAGTTCTTCAACCAGATTTTGTAAGTTTTACTATTACAAGTACATTCAATTTTGAAGTTTATGTTATTTGTATCGTGTAACTATTCTTGTGGTATATATGACACTAGACCCACGTTGTTGCAAATTCTATAAACATGATTTCAGGACTTGTGCCGATAAAATATACTAGATGATCATGCTTCCTATTAGTTTCTTTCCCCTACGAAATAAGTAAAAAAATTAACTTCTAGTTTCAATATGTATTATCTATTGAGTCTGTGATTCTCGCTTATCTATTATATCGGCTGGTTTCTGATTTGGAGATAACTCCAGAATTGCATGGCTTGAATCGTGGGTGGCATCAACCCTAACTTCTAAGTGGATGTTTGTTTTGTCAGTAACACATTTCTAAACAACTAAACAAAGAATTATGTGTTTGTACATTGATAATAAACCTCATGATAAGGTCTAAGAATAACCCCATGCATAAAAAATATCATGACATGAGAGGAAAGACCATGTGTGAAAATATAACAAAAAGGAGGAGCATGTGCATCATTACCAATAAGACATCATGCATCCTCACAACCATTCATTTTAGGCTCACCAATACCTCTTGACATGAGTAAAAAAGGCCCATGACTATTGAGATTCTCCGTTAGGGGAGAGATCATAAGTCAAGGAGGGCGGTAAACTTCCGCCTTAAAAAGGCAGTGCCTTAAAGATGGAGGATTATCAAGCTCACGTCAAGAGTGTATTCATGCCATAAATAAATTAATTGGAGTAAACATTCATTTTAGAAAGTGGCTGGTCATCTCTGTCCTCACGCGCGCCCAGAAAATCAAGGAGATGGACGCATTGGAGGAACAAAATAAAAAGCTCACAGCCGAGCTCTCACAGCTTAAAGAACAGATGGCGCAAATGATGGAACTCATGCGTCACCAAAATATACATGGGACTCACCACAGTGATCATGAGTCCCATCATGAGGAGCATCATGAGGAAGAACAAGACCCTCCGCGAGCTGTACCCCTTGGGGCGAGGATTATGATTAAAGAGCCCGAGATCTCAAAGGAGCAATTCCATGCTCTTGAGGATCGGCTGAGGGTTATGGAGGGGCATGATTTTGATATCAAAGATGCCGCCGACATGTGCCTAGTGAGGGACATTCAATTCCCTCCCAAATTTAAAGTGCCTGATTTCCCAAAGTATGTGGGATCGACTTGCCCCAAAAGTCATCTCACCATGTACTGTCGAAAGATGGCCGCATATGCCACCAATGAAAAGCTCTTAATCCATTGCTTCCAAGAGAGCTTAGCAGACACCGCACTCAACTGGTATATGCAGCTAGATGGGAATCAGGTGTACACATGGAAGCAGTTGGCCGACGCCTTTCTCAAGCGCTATAAATATAACATCGACCTAACACCCGATAGGTCCGATCTTCAAGCCTTGAGTAAGAAAAATGATGAATCCTTTAAGGCGTACGCCCAACGATGGAGGGAGTTGGCGGCACAAATAGAGCCCCCGCTGTCGGATAAGGAGACGGTGTCCTT